AAACCGCCCTATGCATCACGTCTGTTTACCAAGTCATAAAATACCTGTCAGTGCAAACGACATACAAACGTTTCCACGAGTTTATTGCGTTTTATGATGCTCTTATCTGCAGTTCACTCCTCGTCAATGACTCCTAAATCTTACGTCAGAAGGATCTCGGAGACGTAAAGATTTCCTATTTTTATAAATCAGCGACTGCACCTCGTATTTGCGAGCGCGTGGGCAGAGCTATTTCTACAGCGCAAAGAATAATAAGAGTGAGTCTGGTTAGTCATCAGTAAATATTGGCATCGTTGTGAAATCAAGCGCTCGTCAAAATAATGACATTGAAGAAATGGGCATTCTCCCGCCAATTTGGCCACTTTTATCGCAGCCACTTTCGTTGAATTTTTGTTTTTGGCTCAACACCTTTTATATCCCTATAACAACTCATTTCTGGGTGAATTCGACCGGAAAACGTTGATTAAAGGCACACAATAGGTATATGTTCAGTTTTCAAAGACTCAAGCTGTTGAAGTTACCAGACTAGCGGCCATTTTCTCGATAACTTTACCCCCGAAACCTGGTGACCCCCACCTTCTTCAACCGCAAATATCTCCGCTTCTATTCGAGATAGATGGGTATTTTTTAAATCGAAAGTAAGGCAAATGAACAGGCTTTTAGATAATACCAGTAACTCCACACGCCCAAAAATTGACGTGCACCTGATTCCACAATGCCGTTACACGGTTATATTGACGAGAGAACGGGCATATGGCGGGGGTTGTAATTCTATACATTTTAAGCCCCTATCAACTCAAGAAAATTTAGGAGGGCGGTTGCTTCTGCCCTGCCTGTCAAGGACAACCCGCTGGGCTGAGAGGGATACAATAATTGATGTCGTTGTAGCAGAAAAATTGATGTAGGCCTACAGAAAAGTGGGAAGACATGGACTAGCATAAAGAGGCTAGCCCAGGATAGGGGAAGGTGGAAAGTGTTCGTTTGTGGCCTATGTATCCTGTTGCAGGGTGAGATGATGATGATGATGATGATGATGATGATGATTTAATTAAAACAATTATTAACATTTTACTTTTTTTGGGGGGGGGGGTAAATCAGGCAACCACTCTCCCTACCTTCTCTTCTTTTTAAAAAATGATGATGATGATGATGATGATGATGATGATGATGATGATGATGATGATGATGATGATGATGGTGATAGCAGAAAGAAAAAAATACTTGATACAAAAATAGTAAAACAGCCCCCACAAAGGTAACGAACTCAAGTCTCCTGTGTGAAACGGCGAAGCGCTTAAAGCCCAGTGCACTCTGCTAATCGGATTTATCGGATGGAGTTGGGGCCAGCAAGATTTTCCTTTATGGATGGGGTAAAAGCTATAATCCCACTGGAAACATCACAAGCCAGTCGCTGTAGTGGAACCCACAGAGAACACGAGACAGGGATAGACCACGGGAAACATGGCGAGGACATGTGTGGAAAGGGACATGTGAGAGATGAAGCTCACTTGGAACGAGCTTGGAAGGATGGCCCAGGACAGATAAATGGAATGAGCTTGTTGGCCTATACCCTGCCAGGGGTGAAAGACATTGATGATGAAAAGCTATGCTATATATAAGGCCTACTTGTATTTTGGTAAATACGACCGAATTTATTAACTAAAATCGACAGTAACCTATTCAATATTAAACACGTTTGTTTTCTAAGGTCTCGAGTCAAAACGGTTGTTTTATGCCAAAAATGGTAGCGTTTACCGTACGGTATCCATGAAGGAAAATCTGTTAAATGGCGGGAGAGAAGCTTGCTACCTGTTCTTTGTAAGCCTCCTCCTCCTCCTCCTCTTTCTACTGCTACTACTTCTCCTCCTCCTCCTCTTTCTACTGCTACTACTTCTTCCCCATCCTCCTTTTCCTCTTCCTCCATCTACTACCACTACTACTACTTCTCCTCCACATCCTCCTTTTCCTCTTCCTCCATCTACTACTACTACTACTACTTCTCCCCATTCTCCTTTTCCTCTTCCTCCTCCCCCCCTTCCTCCTTCTGCTGCTGCTACTACTACTGCTATTACTACTATTACTCCTCCTCCTCCTCCTCCTACTACTACTATATACTACTACTACTACTCCTTCTACTACTACTACTACTACTACTACTACTACTACTACTACTACTACTACTACTATATATACTACTACTACTACTACTCCTTCTTCTACTACTACTACTACTACTACTACTACTACTACTACTACTACCCCCACTCCCGCTGCTGCTGCTATTACTCCTACTCCTACTCCTCCTATTGTTACAACTACCACTACTCTTACTACTCCTCATGCTATTACAACTACCACTATCCCCACAACTTACTACTCCTACTATGGTGCGTGAGTGTGGGGGTTGAGGGGAAGTTGTGGAGGCACAACAAAAGTGGAAGTTGAGTTTTTGTACAAGTTTTACGGCACTTGCAACACGATTAGGTCATATAAGTGCCGAAGGTTAGAGGTGCTGCAAGAGAATAGTATACACAAGAAAAAAGGAGAGATAGCAGATGTTTGATAGAGGAAAGAAAGACCAAACCACACCAGAGCACCAGCCACCAACAATGAAAGATCACAGAGGTTGTTTTTTTAACAGATCGATGTGCATGCAAGCAATGCTGAAGGAAACCGGCGTTTGTGGTGAAGAGGTTAGGCACTTCGCTGTCGCATGCAGGAGACCCGATTTTGATTCCAGACAGGAGATTAAAATGTTTTGCGAGTACCTCAGTTTTTCTGCTGGGATGTTGAACCCCTCTTAGCCCGTGTTGACCGTAACAGGCAGGGTTGGAAGCCCGCCCCCTAAATGATCTATACTGAGTCGATGGGGGCGTGTAAACATGTACAATAACATGTTTGTTAAAGGAATGACATGCAATCACAAATTACTTACGCCCAAACTTCCCATCTGTGTTCCTGGTATATATGGGTTATAGTAAAAGTACCGGTACAGGCTCTTTCCCTTGAACATCCCCTCCCCCCCCCCCCCCCAAACAAAAACCCCCAACAACAAACAACAGAAACACACAAAACAATGGTTCGAGTCTCATCTAGAAAGAACATTTATCGCAGAATGGCATCGACAAGGGGGGTAACGGGGGGTAACCCACCCAAAAAAACACCCAAACACCAACGCCATCCCCCAACCACTAAAAATAAACCTGCCATAGTCATAACATTTTAAAGAAGAAAACCAGGCACAAAGGCGTTTCAAGTTTTCAAGTTAGTGGGGACAAGTCAACGTCCACTTTTCAAGCCCCAATACTCAACAATGTTCTATAACGTGTTGGAGTTAGAGACTGGTTATATCACGCTGCATTTCCATTACAGGTTTTATTGATGGCTACGTGTATGGGTTATCTATTTCTACCTACACATCGTCTGTGGCCTGTCCTGTGGGTGTGGTGAGTCAGTCTCAGCACACACACAGAGAGAGAGAGAGAGAGAGAGAGAGAGAGAGAGAGAGAGAGAGAGAGAGAGAGAGTATATTTCGAGGTAAAAGAAGGAGGAGTTCCAATCTTATCGCACCTTTTCATTTTTCCCCAGCTTATCCTTTCAATTTGTTTAAAATAACAACCACTCGACTTGTTTTTTCACAAACTTTCAATGTGCTTTATTGCAATAATTCAATTTGACTTCACAATGTTCTTTCTGTTTCCTTTATTACAATCAATCAATTTACTTTATCACCATCGTTCAATTTGGCTTTATCATATCCTTTCAATTTGCTTTAATATAATCATTCAATTTACTTTATCACCGTCATTCAATTTGATTTTATCATATCCTTTCTGTCTGCTTCATTACAGTCATTCAATTGACTTTATCATTATACCATTTCAGTTTGCTTCATTACAGTCATTCAAATAAAAATTAAAAAAACCCTGTCTTTTCATTCTGTCTCCACTTTCAGGGTTCTTTGACCATGGAGGTACCAGGCATCCCGTGAATCTTCAGGCTGGCTCTGCGCGCCTCCCCCTTTGTCCACGACCTTCACCCTGAGAACACCTCACTCCCTCTCTTCTCCTTCTCCCCCTCCCTCTCTTCCTCCCTCTCCCCTCCCACATACTCCTCCCCTCTCCTCTCCCCTCCCCTCTCTCTCCCCCTCTCCTCCTCCCCCCTCTCTCTCTCTCCCGTCTGTTCGTCTACCACCGGAGACCGGCGATGTGGCAGGACGATGCTCCCTGAGTGCCACACACATTGTCTGGGACAACATCTGGTGTAGACATCGTCATTTGCTGCTCTTCTCGCTCCGCACACCCGGGCGCCCAAGGAGCTGAAGGCAGATTTCGTAACAACTGTCGCTGCAACAACTGCAACTTCAAATCCAGAGAGAAAGAGGATTAAACAACAACAACAACAGCAACAACAAAACAGCAGCTGCAATAACAGCAGCAACAAATTCAAATCCAAAAAGAGAAAATAGGATTTAAAAAACCCTAAAAACCAAAACAGCTGCAATAACATCAGCAACAGCAAGAACAGCAACAGCAACAGCAGCAAAACAGTTTGGAAATGTTTCTTTCTGCCTAAGTGTTTTTTTTGGTGTTTTTTTTGTTTTGTTTTTTCCTCGTTGTCGACGTCTGTAAGGAAGCAAAAGTTCAGTCCTTTTATTTTCTTTGTTCAAAAACATTTTTGTTGAGGTTTTTGTTGTGGTTTTCAGACTCCACCAGAGCTATCAACAACGACAACAACAACAACAACAACAACAACAATAACAACAACAACAACAGCAACAACAAGAACAACAACAACCACCACCACCACCACCACCACCACCACCACCACCAGCACCAGCACCACCAGCACCACCAGCACCGCCAGAGTAAACAAATTACATACAAACATACAAACAAACAAACAAACAAATAACACTCACTCACAAACAAACAAACAAGCCAACACCCCCTTCCCCTAAAAACCCCCCAAACAAAACAAAACAAAAACACACCCCAAACAAACACTAAAAACAAAAGAACGAACTAACAAAAGGCAAAAACAAAACAGCTACAACAAACAAACAAAACCAAAAACCGAACGACCAAGATGCCGGGCAAGGAGAAGGACGACAAGCCCCCGCCCGCCATGGGCCCGGGCTCCAAGATCAAAGGTCTCATCGACGCGCTCCGCAAGCACCTGATCGTGACGGAGGACAAGAAGAAGCGCCAGCTGCTCATCGACTTCACCTCGGTGGGCTTCAAGACGCTGCCCGTGGAGATCCCGAAGAACGAGGAAGTGTGCGACCTGGCCACGCGCTTCCTGCTGCAGTTCAACAAGCTGAAGAAGCTGCCCGGGAACATCTCCGAGCTCAGGTTCCTGCGCTACGTAGACATGCGCAGCAACCAGATGTCCTCCATCCCGGCCTCTTTCTTCAAGATCGAGACCCTGGAGTATGTAAGTGATGGGGTTTTTCTTTCTTTCTTCTTGTTTTTTTTGGTTTGTTGTTGGTGTTGTTGTTTTGGGTGAGAGATGGTGATATTATGTACGAGGTTGGGCTTTTGTTTGTTTTTGTAGCTGTATTTTGTTGATTTTGAGACAGATGTTGATATGTAAGTGGGGTTTATCTATTTTGTTGTTGTTGTTGTTGTTTTTGTGAGATGCTGGAGTATATAAGTGGTTTTTTTTGTGTTGTTGTGGTTGTTTTTTCGGTGAGAGATGGTGATATTTAAGTGGCTTTTTTGGTTTTTTTTTGTAGTTGTTTGTTTTTCTTATGGTTAGAGATGGTGATATGTAAGTGGATTTTTGTTTTGTTGTAGTTGTTTTTGTTTTTTAAAATGAGAGATGGAGATATTATTATGTAAGTGGTTTTTTTTGGAGAGATCTTGATGTGTATGTGGGTATTGTTTTTTTTAATTTAAAAAAAAATTTCTTTACTAAACGCTGGAATAATGTGCAAGTGGTTTTGTTTTGTGAAAGGCTGGCATATGTCATTGTTTGTTTTTAGCTTTTTTAAATGAAAGGTTGGAATTTTTAAGTGGTTTTGTTTTTATTTTTGTGTGTGTGAAAGGTTGGAATATGTACGTGAGTTTGTTTTGTGATAGATGTGATACGTACGTGGGTATTGTTTTTAAATTGTGGTTGTTTTTTGAACGCTGAAATAGCATGTACGTGTTTTTGTTTTTTTCGAAAGACAATGATGTGTAAATGGGTATGTGGGCGCTGTTTTTTTTTCTTTCTCACCCCTCTCCCCCTCTCCTTTTCCTACACTATTCAATCCTAACTACCTTCATCTTATACGCCAATGTGCTGCTTCCCCCCTTTATGTTGTATCTACGATATCTCCCCCCCCCC